TTAAAACGCAAACTTTCTTACAAGTCATTCTGTTTTGAACCTGATATTTACATCAGTGCAGACTGAATATCCCTTTTCTGAAGTGCTTGGTGTCAGCCATGTTACTGGTTTTAGACTTTTCTTTTGGATTGTGGAATATTTACATATTCATGAGATACCATTGAAGTGGGACCTAAGCTTAAGTAGGAAGTTCACTTATATCTCAGATATACCTTGCACGAGGAGCTAGAGGGCAATGTCACGTAGCATCGTGAACGTGCCTGTGCATCTTCTGTGGCCCAGCACACTGCGATCATATGTGGAAGTTTCTCTTCAGAGCATCACATCAGTGCTCATAAAGTCTGACATAATCTGAATGAGGGATGCATGGCCTGTGTGAGCAAATGAGTCACCCTCAGGCAGTGTGGACCACATGCGGAGAAGGTTCTAGAACAAGGAGGTTGAACTTATGCATTCTTCAGTGTTTTTCAGTACACCCTTTGCTCAGCACCTATCCCGGCCCAGGTCCCTGCTGTCACACAGGGGTAACTGTGGACTCTAGCCCTTATTGACGCTTCCTCTGCATGATAGGTTGTGCTTCACAAATGATAGCAGAGAAATCCTTGCAATGTGCTTACAGGGAGGGCACAGTGTCCTGTATTCCATTTTGCAGGCGAAGATGCTAAGCACAGAGCTGCTTCATTTCTTGTTCAAGGCCATACCGCAAGCTAGTGTCGAAGCTGGGCCAGAAACAGCAGCAATCAGCCTCCAGGCCACCTTTTAAATCCTGAACTTGACTCCCTCCATTCTTTCCCTGGCTGAATTGGTTCTGAAATCACCACAGTCCCCATCTTTCTTTGGTTCACAGTGCTGTGCCAGCTCATTCTCAGTTCTCATCTCAAATACAAACCATGTAGAATTCCCAACTAAAAATTCTGCAGTGTTTATCCAAGAGCAGGGCCCAGGACTTTGAGTTTTCAGCCCAGACATGGTGCATTCTTTCTATGACTAGCTCACCTCTGTGAACTGTGTTAGGAAGTTTGTAAAAACAGAGGCATCTATGGCCTCCTTTATCTATCCTCCTTCATACCCAAGCCTGTTTCTAAGCAGAATTACGATTCTATGTGATGGGGAAGTTGCAGAATCTATCTTATCAACTGAGAGAAAGTAGTGGGCAAGGAAACAGAGCCTCTGGTGTAGAGCCCCTGAGCTGGTGAATGGACAGCTCATCTGAGAGGCAACCAGGAAGGCATGAGAGCAAGCTAAGCTGATCGATCGGCCCTGTACAGGTGGTCAGGCAGAAGTTAGGACACACATGGCCTGATACAAAGGCATACACACCACTGAGCCCCTTTCTAGTGAAGCTGTGTCTCATAGCCATAATATATTTTAGCTTGTATGTAGAAGGGGGACCCAAATCTGGTCCACGAGGCCAGGTGCTGCCAAGCAGTCTGCCCCAAGAGATACTGCATCCAAAGGACATGGCTCCAATGCCTTAAACCAGAAAAGAGAGAGTTCAGATGTGGTGGGAGCCTTTAGCGCAGTCTAACGAACTTGTTTGGGGTGGGAGACCTCATTCTACCTGGCTTTCTGGTGCCCCCTGTGCCTGATGAGTGCACACTGCCACGCGTTGGAGCCCCTCCTCCTGGATGAGTCAGTCCTGCACAGGGAATTCCGAGCAGTGCCTCAAGCACAGAGAGCCCCTCTCTATCTGAGCTTTGCCCCCCACCCCACTGGAGTAACTCAGGAGAGTCTCATCATCTTTCTGGGCCACAGTTTCCTCATCCATACTGTGGAGACAGTGATGGGCTGGTCATGAAGACCAAGAGTTGGCTCCTATAAAGTGTGTAGGATGGTCCTCAGAACCAAGAAAGCACTATAGAGTTGCCAGGCAGCAGGGGTGGCATCTGGGATTGGTACTGGGACTGCCAGGAGCCAAGTCCTGCTGCTCACCCTGGCTAAGTGACCTTCAGCTAGAAACTTAGCCATGGTCAGTCTCATTCTTATTTGTGGTAATTATAGTTATATCGTGGGGTTATTGAGAAGGCTAAGTGAGTTAATACTGGAAACCCTTGGAGCAAACAGCATGAGGCCCCCAGTGAGCCCTCAGCAGAGTAAGCATTTTGCTACACAGCTTCTCAGATCCATTAATTAATTAATTAATTAAGCCTTACTGGGGATTGAATCCAGGACCTTTGTCACAGCCCTTTTAAAGATTTTATTTTGAGACAAGGTCTTACTAATTTGCCCAGGCTGGTCTTGAACTTGCCATCCCCCTGTGTCTGGCTCCAAGTCCTTTGACAGTAGGTTAACACTGTAGAAAGTGATAACCTATAAAGGTGAAGGTCCTAGATGTTTATACTCTTGTTCCATGTTCAAGGTCTAATAGTCATGGGCAAGACATAATATAAACTTCTGGCCAGAAATGACCACTTCTGTTTGTCTGTTCAGGTACCTATCAAGCAGGACTCCCATTCAAAGTGTAGCATTTCTTATCCAGTGCTCTGGTTCCAAGTCCCCCAGTTCTTCCGTGTCAGGGGTCCATCCCTGTGATGGTCCTTGGCAACTATCTCACATTGCCTTGTATGACTTGTGAGACAGAACAGCATGTGGAATGGAAAGCCAAACTGCAAAGAAGCTGGTCTAACCACAGCTTGGAAGGGCACATTCGGTGTTCCATGTAATTTGATTTGATCCCAGGTGAAGACTGCAGTAAGATTTTAGTGATGGTAGCTCACACTGATGTCTAACATCATTTTGAGAATTTTCCTGATTTTCTTAGAGTCATAGGCAAACTGTGCTCCATTTTCCCCCGTTGAGCTCCTCAAAGTACACAAGGGCCATGGGGTGAATGTGTGCTCAATTTAATCTCCACTTCAGGTATCAGTGGCATTTGGAGGTAGGACCTTGAGGAAGTGCTTAAAGTTAGAAAAGGTTATAAGGGTGAAACCCCCATTGTGGCTTTCAAGGAAGAGAGTTAGAGACCTGAGCTAATCTGCACGCACAGGCTTTCCATGCGATGCACTCTGCCATGGTCTGATGGAGCAAGAAGGCCAGTGGCTGATGCCAGTCTCCAGATCCATGGGTCAAATTAACTTCTATTTTTTAAAATTTTTTTTACAAATTATGTGGGTTCAGATATTGAAGATGAACTAAGACAATAAGTCCCATGAGTATTTCAGATGTGCTTGCCAGTGACCACACAGGGCCTGATGCTCTGTTCACACTGGGTGGTTAGAGCTGGCTAGGTTAGGGCTGGGGGTGGGGCACTGTAGGCAGGAAGGCAGATCAGTCAGAGATCAGGGAAAAAGGATCAGGGCTTTGATGACAGAATGCGCTAAAGGTTGGAGAGAAATTGAAAGAAGTCCTTTCTTTAAGCCCAGGATAAGAAGTATTAGGATGGGAAGATTAGTAAGAGTCAGAGCTTAAAAAGAAGAAACACCAACCCCCTATTAATTGAGGATGGTGGGAGAAAAGTGTAAACAGTTCAAAATGCTCATGCACTCCCTGGAAAGGAAAGAACAAGTACATGAAGCCCTGAATAACCAAAATCACCAGTTGATTTGGACAGCAGTCCAGGTAATGAAGGAGGGTGCTTCACAGCACCGGGAAGTGTGTTTTAGTACTCAATGACTTTGTACATGGCTTATGTAGACAGCAGTCATTGGGGGTCACTCTTGGTTGTAGGGGAAGGAGACACAAGGCTGTAGATCAAAAGTGCTGTCTGAGTTGCTTTTGAAACATTGGTAGGAATTGAAAAGGTGGAGAAGAGAGGCAAGACTGCGCAAGCAGCAACATAGAGATGGAAAGGCCAAAGCCAAGGCAAGTGTTCAAAAGTGACGTCACAAGAGGAGAATATGGCATGTAAAGCTGAAGGGCAGATCAACACACCGCGCCTTATTCACGGCACAAGTATCCACAGGTTACTTATCTTCTTGGTGACCTGGTTTCCTTGCGTATGAGTGAAAGTAATGAAGGTACCTGCCAGATAGTGCTATTGGGAGGATTGCATGACATAATGAGCGTGAAGAGAGTATCCTCATACCTGATGTATAATACACACTCACTGAATAACAACAGTGAATGACGATGATCACCAACCCCGGTGATTCAGTGACACTGGAAATGCGGAAGCCAAGCATGTCGCAGCGTTCTGTCACTGTAGCAAATACTTGAGACGAATGACTCATAAATAGAAACTATTTCTTTTGGCTTGCAGTTTGGGAAGTTGCCTTTGCTTTGGGCCTATTGTGAGTTAATGCTTGATGAGAGCGCCGCAAGGTAGAGCAAACTTGTTCACTAGTAGGCAACAGAGAGGGCCTAAAAGTCCTCTTCAAACATAAGCTCAATCACTTTAGGTCCTTTCCTTTAGCTACACCTGCTCCACATCCACAAAGCTTCCAAATGACACCACCCTGGCTACAAAGCCCTCAGCATAGGGACGGCTGGGGGTCAGTCAACATTTGAACTGCAACAGCAAGACATGGCAAGCAGTGAGGCCAAGGGTGAAAGAGACGGTGAAAAGCTTTATTATCAGTTTTTACCCTACAAGCCTAGGGAAGTTTTAAGAGCTCAAAGCATGCAAACAACAAGGCCAGATTTATAATTTTGATGGGTTTTTCAAGGGCTGATGTTGTGGATTAGTTTGAGGAAGCCAAGAAGGTCCTAATGGTGGTATTACCATAGCCCAGATGAGAGGTCATGAGGTCCCAACCAATGTAAATACATGGCACTAGATTTTAGTTAAAGTCAAAGGGCATATATGAGAACTTTAGGAAGCAAATGTGGCATGATTTGGTGAAGGAAAAGATAGAAATGAGGATACTCCCAGGGTGTCTACACTAGGTGGCCAGAGATGATCCCATCCACTGATAGAGACACATGTGAGGCAATTATAAGAAAGACAAAGCTGTGTATACTGTTTGTAAAAGGGGAATTTGAGGAACCTGTGGATAGCCAGGTGGAGAGGCTCAGTAGCTCATTATACATATAAAAATGAAACTTACTGTACCATCGCAGCTATACTCTGTTTCTTCAGATCATATAAATCTTTTTGGCTTCTACTAAAGAGTTCCACGAAGAGGAACAATTCTGAATCTTAAACCAATTTTTTTTTGGGGTGGGCCTTGTTTCAGCAAGGCTACACTAAGGCTTGAAAAGAGATAGCAGCTTTCAGCCAGAAATGCAGATACAGATGTTGCCACCCTAAGGACGATTATGGAATCGTGAGAAGGGAAGCGAATGGAAAAGCAAGTGAAGAGAGAAAAGAGGAAAATCAGCCTACTGGAGAGAGATAAAGAAAAAAAAGAAAAATAAGAGTGATATATTAGAAGCTAAGAGAGCAGATGCTGGGCTGGTGAGATAGCTCAGCAGACTAAGCGCCTGCTTAGGCAAGCACAGGAATGAGGATTCCATCCTTGACATCACATGCTGTGCCAGCCCTGCCCCAGGTGCACTGAGCTGGCCACTGGGTCTGGGCATGATGGCACACACCTGTAAACTCAGCACTGGGGTGGCTGGAAACAGGAGGATCACTACGAGTATGAGCTGTGTAGGGAGACTTTGTACCAAAAACATTTAAAAAGAGAGAGGGAGAGCAGGTAGTGAAATAGGGAGAAATAGGTCTTTTATGTTAAATGCCACAGACACATCTACTAAGCAATGCCAGGGACAGGGAAACTGATCTGGCAAGCAGGAGGGGAAGAAGGATGTGATACAATGCTGTAGATACAGAAGATGGTAACACTACTTGAGATATTTTGTGGTGAAAGAAAAGAGAGCAAGAGAGAAGTGTGAAGGGAAAAAAGAAGAGAATATAGTCTCTGGCCAGAATATTCTTTTCTTCCCTGCGAGACAGAGAACAAAGTTTTACTGATAGAAACAACATATGGGGAGGATGAGGATGAGGTTGTATAGGAAAATGAAAAAGATGCATCAGTCAGCTGTCTGATATAATAAAAACTACCAGAGGTAATCAACTTATAAAGAAAAAAGGTTTATTCAGGCTAACAGTTTTAAAAGTTTCAGCCCATGAGTAGTTGGGCCCATTGCTCTGGGCCTGTGACAGCACATTCTGATTGATGGGAGTGTATGACAGACAGACCAAAGCCACCTACCTCACACCTGGGAAATGCAACAGTAAAAAGACAGATTTCCCATAATCCCTTGGTTGCACACCTTTGAGGACTGGAAGAGCTTCCAATAGGCCATGCCTCTTAGAGTTTCCACCGTCCATACAGTACTGCGGGGAGGGATCCAGCATTTCATACATGGACCTTTAAGGAGACAGCTGAAAACTCACAATGGATCACACTCCAAAAGAAGACAAGAGGACAAGGTACCTGGAACTCTCAAGCATTTGCGTCTGTCTAGAACAGAATAAGAAACAGATAAGCAGATCCCACCATCTTCCCTACCCTCTGTGAGACTCTAGACAAGAAAGTGAGTAGGTGGAAACTTTTGTCTGTGGAAACAAGTTTAAATTTGCATCACACAGTCTGAGAGTTTTGATGCGGAAGTGGAAGCGTGTGCCATGAGGGAGACATAAGTGATCACTAAGGTAGGGCCCTTCTGGAGAGTTGTGAGTATTCAGAGTTTCTACCAAAAGGGTGCTGAGCAAAGTCGCAGGCAAAGCTGAGCACCCTCAGTACTGGAGCTCAGCGGGAGAAGCTCGTGAATTTGTGGCAGCCCCGTCTGTACAGCTGGGCGGTACTGGGCCTCCTTCTTTCAAGGAGTTGAGGCTGAGGAGAAATGCAGGCAGTGGCATTCATGCAGAGTGAAGCTTTGCCGTCAAGAAGGCTCAGGCAAAGCCTAGGGCTGCGTGGCAGTGCGGGTACGGGTGAAATGATATTTTCAAGGACCAACCAGGAAAATAGGCTCAGGAGACTGACAATGATCCTCTGTCTCTTGTTTAGCTCAGAAAAGCTCAAGGGAAAGAAATGACCTCAGAAGAAATTATATATGTCTTATAATCATTATTATTGAAGAGATAGGACCCCCCATTTTCAGTTTTGCTCTCATTTACAATTATGAAAAACAATATATTTAACTTTAATTGTCTGCTTCTCCTTGCCCTGGGGTTATATACCAGCTTCAAGTTGGGGAAAGTCCAAAGTCATTGGATGACCTCCCACGGCAATCAGGCAGCTCCCCACTGACCGGGGCAGCAGGGGCCTTGCACCATTAGCAAAGGAGCAGTAAATCAGTAAATGTGTACCCAGACCCACAGAAGAGCCATTCAACTCTGGAGAGAAACTACAGAGGAAAGAAGAAAGTATCACTTAATAAAAAAACAATGGGAACATATGGCAGAAATAAACCCAGTTAGTCCCCAGACAAAAGAGTGGGCAAGAGAAATCAGTCTGTTTTTAAGAAGCAGGCCCTAGTCTAGTAGGAGTCAGTAGGTTAGATGCAAAAGTTAAGGATACAGTGAATAACACTGTTAGGTGGTGGTGATGGAGAAAGAGCCCAGGCACTGTAAATGTGCTACTGCCACTTCCTCTGAACCCCAGAGTGCTCTGAGCAGGCATTCCCCTCCTAGTGTTCTAGGAAAGCTTCTCACATTTGTCACCTACAAACTAAAAACACCTCAGTGACATGGCCTGTCCCATTTAATAGCCCTTGAAGACATTCAGACACTTTGGGTATCATCCTGACTTTGAACAAAAAGATCATTATTGTAAAGGTCACAAAGGTAGATTATTTAAAGGAATAATGACACTTGTATGGTACACTATGATTGAGGAAGCAATTCCTGTTAGCATATTTGATCATTCTAAAGACTTTAGTGTTGATTGCTATTCTAAGTAAATACTCAGAAACACTTTTACATTTCTTAGCTTGAAAATATATTTTTTGTTATCTTAATCAGATCATTTTTTAAATTGTTTCCCTCAGTATTCTCTTGTCATTTTTACTTTCTCCAGTACTCATAAAACCTTCAATAAATTTCCAGAATCAACAGTCTCTGCTGCTCGGTCCTCCATGTTTTGATGCCTGTGTTCTCGCCCTGGAGACACCCCTCTGGCTTCCTTCCCTCTGCCCACTTCTCTGGCCATGCCTTTTCCTTGACCTTCTCCTGAGGTCTTGGCTGCAACAAATCTTCATCTTGTGCAATATAAGAATCATTGTTGAATTCCTATCATTTTATTTAGTGAAATTCTGTATCGTTTTTATTTTTAAGCTATTTTGTATTCTCTTAAAGAAATAAAATACAAAGAACATAAAAGAAATAAATATTTCTTTTAGCTAACACTTTTTCAATGAAATCTTTCTGTCAACATATCTTTTCTTTTTCAAGGTTATCAGTCTACTTCATATCTTTGTTTCAAAAAACTCTGTCCTAGCTGTGTTGCAGAGTTAAGGACAACATTTGGTAAAGTCTCTTGCTAGATTCTAACATCTTTAAATCTGTGATCTCTCTCTCTCTCTCTCTCTCTCTCTCTCTCTCTCTCTCTCTCTCTCTTTCTCTCTCTCTCTCTCTCCCCTTCAATACTGGGGATTGGTCCCAGGCCTTTAGCACTGAACTGAGCTGAACCCTAGCCACTAACCCCCATTTCTTTAGTTATCTTGGAACAAGACCTCACTGAGCTGCTAAGTTGTCCAGTCTGAGCTTGAAGCTGAGACCCTCTTGCCTCGGCTTCCCAGAATGCTGGGATTGCAGGTGTGCAGCGGGCCTTTTTTATTTTTAATTTAAAACCAGGATCAGATCAAGCATCACTTCTAGTGTGAATTCTCTTTGATGGCCACTCTTACTAATTCCCTTTCCCTACAGTGTGCTTTTAAAAGACCCTCTCCACAGATGCGCCTACACGCTTGCTGCTTCTCCTGTCCGCTAGGTGAGCCCACCTGAAAGTGGAAGCAGCCTGGCTGCCTCAGCTTAAGTCTCTCCTACTTACTCAAAGTGTGATCTTGGGCAGACTACTTCACCTCTCTGTATTTTAGCTTTTTTATTTCTAAAATGAAGATAATAACAGTACTTACCTCCAAAACTGGAGAGGATTAAGTGACTGAATGCATACAAAATGCTATCAGGCAGTAGGCCATTACAATTTTTACACTGTTTTCCTGTGTATTCTTATTGACAAGAATAATGCTTCCCTAAGCAGGAACGCAGCAGATATTGAATAAATGAATAAATGAGGGCAAGAGTAGGTGATACTTCTTTCTAATAGATTCTCAACTCATGAAATGGGGCTATACCTCACCCATAGCTTTCTCAGAGCAAGTGCAACTTATAATAGGCAACTGATAAATATTTGCAGAGCTTTATAAATATTAATCTAGTCCAGTGACTGGCAGATTGAGCACAATAGAAGTGTGCTGCAATGAATTAGGTTCAAGTCAAATAAATGGTCATGCACTATTTTACTTTAAAGTTGTAAGACATACTTCCCTTCTGTTCTAAAGTTCCCCGTGTGGAAGACTATTTCATGCCTTTGGTCATTTGTAACCAGACCCCAGCACTGCTTCGAACACACAGAGGAAATCCACAGGACAGGCCACAGTGAAGCTGGTCTGGAGTCTCTGAGGACATCTGGGCCAGAGATTTGGTGCTGAGATCCTGTGGGGCCAAAAGGGGAATGCAGACCCCAAACCCAGCTGCCCTAGGGGAAAGGTGGAGAGAGCTGGGCACGGGCTCTGCCCTGGACATGGGGGAGGAGGGCTCTGAACCCCAAAGGAACACTTCCTCCAAATTGAGGCTTGGGCTAGCAACAGTGATTCAACTAGGGATTGTGAAAAGGCAGATTAAAAAAGAAAAGACCCTTCTTGGCAGCCCAGCTGGGCAGGGATGGGGCTAGTTCACAGCCCAGCAGACATGCATGCTCATGCCGGTGACCACAGGGCAAGACAGGCAGGGACCTGTCTGTTTGGCTAGAGATGCTTAAGCTGGCCCCTTCCCTCCACCCCTGCTTTGTCACTCACATTTCCTCATTTGGGGCTTGAGAGGCATTTTTTCCCCTCCCCTCAGCTTTTTAAAGTAATATCAGTGGAGCAACTAATGAGGCGGCGGAAGGCAAGCTGGTCTGTTCAGGGCTGCTAATGACTCCATTCCCGGGAGCCTAATCAAAGATTTGTACATTTAATTGCTGTCAAGTCAGCTCCAAGCACCTGCCATTTCTGCAGCACCTGAGCTCCCAGCT